CATCTCAGCCTGTGTTTTTGAACAATTATGTTGGTTCATGGCTAAAATACTTACGGTTATAATAATTTATACATAATCTTCCATTTAAATAAACGGTGGCAGTAAATAGCTTCATGAACAATGCTTTTGTTTTTCTCTTATCTGATTTGATCCCGGGGTTACTGTAAGCACTTAAAATTGTCCAATGTCCATATCAATGTCCATAAGCTCTTGGTTAACAGCAGTCACATCATTTTAAGATCCATTTTTAAGGTTTTCTGAAAGTATATTTTCCCCCTACCTAAAACATTAAAAAGATTTATTTAAAACACACTGTTTGCACTTCTTTGTGGAGAGTTTTGCTGTATTCTGCCAGTCACTGATCTATAAGGCCTGCATACAGTGGTGAGGCACCCCATCAAAGTTTGAAAAGGACCAGCTTGACCAAGTAAGGGAAGTCTGGGGACTCCTGAAAGGTGGTGGAGTCTCACACACGCTGGCTGGATCCCAGGGCACCGGGCGACACATCCAAGAAAAGGTTTGGTTCAGCTGGCAAACCTTCTGCGTTCCAAGGGTGGAAACAGCGCAGGGAATTCCTGAACACCTGAACAACCTTAACACTGAGTCACACAGCAGAAACATCAGCACTCACAAAGAACTTGTGTTAATCTGCAAAAGGCACTTTTAATGTGAACATTGCCAGAAGGTGAGCGCTCCACCAGCAAAAAACAATGAATTACTTAATGTGCACATCTTGTTCCCAGCACTTTGGGGGTCTTTTGCATTATACCTTTGGCAGCCGAGTGTATACATTCATGTTATTGTCCATCTGATTTAATTCAAATACAGTGAACTTATGAAGTTCAGGCAATGCAGGACTGAAAACAGTGGGCTCCGTTTTAATTCCACTAGTGTGAAAAGCAAACAAATTAAGTCCAACAAATCATAATAAGCGTGAAATTTCCACCTTGATAAACAACTTTACGAAGTCTTATAAAGATAAGCCTGCCTGATTTTCTTTACAAACTGTAAATACTGTAATAAGCAAGCATGATAAGAATGCTGCACAAACAAAAGAAGTTTCCACAAGACACATAACATATTTCATGTTCCTGTTTTGCCACTGGCACTGGATTTCAAAGCTATACAGTTGAACTAAAAAATGAAATAGAAATCAGTTGATTTAGACCTTGGGGACTGGTGACGAACGCGAAAAGGAATTGCGTTACAAGGGCCTCGCTTATCAGATGCAGGTTATCATAGCAGCAAAGACGGGCCACCTTGCATTCTGCCAACCTGCTTTCCCTGTGATTACCAGAGCACGCAGGTGTACTTATAGAATGGATCTCATCTTCAAAAGTGCCGCCACGTGGATGATACTGGGCTTGCTTCTTCACCCCCGAGCGTGCTGGCACCTGTCAGAGCATTTGCACTATGAAGTGGGGGTGGAAAGTAAAGCTTGCAGAGAGGACCCCTTCCTTGCCTTGCACCACATGGTCCCCAAAACACCTCCCCCCAGGTTCTGCCGAGCAAACTCTGCACATTTGGAATTTCCTGTATCCCAGCCCGCATTTTTGCTTTGTAGCCACCCCTGCTGTGAAAGACCCCAACCTCCAAATCCTCCTGTTTGCAGATTGCGAGTATCTGGTCTTTTTATGCAGCTGTAAGTTCTGCTCAGCCCCGGTGCAGTATGGATCACACCCTGTTCCTCTCCAAATACACTCCGATGGATTATGTATATTACACATAATCGGGTGCAGACACCATGTACGTCTGTTGTATTAGTACAAACAAACTGGTAGGAAAAGCACCAGTAATCAAACTTCTTCATGTGTAGAGGCTAACAGGAAGTTACAAGGCTTGACGGTCTGCCATGGATAGAAGCCAAACTCAGGGAATCCCAGAATTTCTTCCGGAGCTTAATTGAATCTGGCTCTTTTCCATAAGGAATCTGCGGAAGAGCAAAGAGTAACTTAACTGCCAACCAAGACAGAAGGGCCCTCAAAAATTTGGCTACCAGAATCGCAGATGCTTCCTAAAGTGTGGGGTTGAGTTCCAAATGCTGGTTTTTCAATTACTGCTTCAGCGTATGTATTATATTTGACGTTGGACTAAAATAACGACTCAGACAAATAGCTGCACATCCTTTTCCAGAAGTTAAAGGCAAGTGAGACTAAGGACGTATTCTCCGATAGGGAAGAAGAAGGTGCTCTGCAATTGATGAAACGTCATTAATGCAGCAGGGAGGAACTGCAATGGCAAACAGACGGGGATTGATTCGTGTTTAAAGCTTCTACAATGTCTGTTTCAGATGGTTTAATTTTAAGACGTTCATAGGTGTGGCTGCCGGAAGTGGTTGCGAAGAAGCAGTCGCCATTAGCACTTTGAGAGCAATAAGAGCCGCTATGTCCCGTTCATCAGCCTGAAGCGACTCGGCTGCATCCCGGGACTTGGGTGAGTGAGTCTACAGAACCACCGACAGCACTGCTGCTGCCACGGCTGTCAAATGGTCTGTGGTTTAACTGGCCTTCAAAGAGAATCTGTAAAACAGTCAGGACTGCAGGAAACCATAAACACAGGCGTTCAGGCACACAGTGACTCCACGAAGTGGTGAGTGCAGAGAACCCACCCCCCCCAGCTCGAAGCCAGCTAAGAAGGGCTACCCCACCCAAGACTCCTTTCCCAAACTTGCTGTGAGCATGGGGGCCACAGGCTCTGAATCGGCTCCCTACTTCCCAGACCCCTGTCCCTTACAGCATTCTTGACATTCCTCGGCTAAAAAGCACTATTCCGAACTGGCCAGGATAGTCGGGAATGTCGGGAATGCTGGAGCCAAGCTCCGGGGCCTGACCCTGAATCACCACCAGATCCACTCTGCTCCTGGTCCAGTTCAGACTGTGATTCTGAACCTCAGGAGAGCTGGAGGCCTCTGTGAAATTAAAGGTTTGTGTGCTGGAAAACAGCGCCAAAAAAAGTGCCAAGGTGTCAGTCACACTCAGACCAAAGGATGTTCTAGTCAAGACAGATCACTGCTATCTAACTAATCATCGGTGACAAATAGGAACACTATACTGACTTACAATATAAGGATCTCTCAATCATTTTGATAATACTTTTAAAAGGCAAATTACTGAACATACCCCAGGTAAGCATGTATTTAAAGTGCAGGTTAGTTTCACATATTTTCAAAAGACACAGTTATACACAGAATCATGAAGGCTGAAATTCCATACTGATAGCACAGGCCGTTAGAGGAAGTGAGGTCATATCTATTTCGAGCAGACTAGGAAGTTGTTTGCTTCCTCCAAAACAGGGCAGTTAGCCTACATGTTACTTTAAATCTATTACAGCTTCAGTAGCACAGGTATCGTCCTGATAATACCTGTATCCTTTCACTCATGTTTATATATCTTCATGCAAAAATCGGCTTAAATCATGAGATCTCGCCTGACTGCCTAGTCTGACACCAGCATCCACTTATCGACATTCACACAAGACATTTCCAGGTTAACTACCTCGGTAAGGAGGTTCACAGAAATGTGCAAATGAATAGAACTGAAGCAGCATCCTTGGGGGCTGCAACGTGGCCCCCGCTAGCAGCAGCACTACCTAAAGGCAGCTGAACCATGCTAATATTAGCGGGTAAGCCAACACCTGGACCGGTTAAGGCAGTCAGAGAGCCTGGGCTTTCGGACTGGCCTGTCCCACTAACCTATGCCCCCGAAGGACACTAATGCCGGGGCCTGACCCCGAATCAGCACCAGATCCACTCTGCTTCTGTTCTGATTCAGGCCACCAGTTACTCCCTGCCACATTTCAACAGATACAGTGCGCTTCCAAGACTTTTCCCTGAATGGCTTACAGACAGCAAGGTGTGTGTGGGAGGCTCTTGGAGTTTCACAAGCTGCATATTTCTTCTTTTTCCCAAGGTACTGTAGGTGGGTGTGTTTCCATGCTGGGAGAGGAACTTCAGTTAGCTCATGTCATTCACGCTGATCTAAAGAGGGCAGATGACTCAAGCTACATACTCCGCTTATGCATCGTGCACAAACCACCCGTGATATGCTGGGTTACACCAGTGAGAGGAAATATAAGACAATAGATGCCGACTTATGAAGCGCAGCAGTCAGATACATAGTTTTTCCACGTATGAGCTTCCCCCAGAAATGCAGGGGACAGTGCGCGTGCCACGTAGCGCAAAAAAAGTATCACTAGAGGCGCGAGGCACTATATATCGCGCTCGTGCGCAAGAATCAGGTAAAGCCCAGTCCACATCAATAAACTAATTAATGTGCATGAAGGTGGGATCGTAACCATTTTACTGCGTTTAACCCCTCCCCCGTGTCGTTTTCTTAAACAAACCCCATCTGCTAATTTGGCTAACCTTCTCCACGGCCACAGATGAACGAGTCTCGATTAGTTAATGAAAGTTCAGGGGGAAAGGCAACGTGGGTATAAAAAAATGGTTACCAACTTACCAAGCTGCAAACTACGGATGTAGTTTACTCGATAGGAGTAAAATTATCGCACTGAACAGCTTAGTTACGCAAAGCACTTTCTAACCACCACATAAAAAGACATTACTAACTTACCCGTAATCAGCTGCCGTTTACTCTCATCCAGGTGTGCCGACACTACATTCCCCATGGCGATAAGCAACCTAAAAACCCAGTACTCAAACTGGAAATCCTTTTGCTTTTATCCTAACAGCGGCGTCCAGTGACAACTCCGAACCAGTATGGATGAATCTGCCCTTAAATATATCCTTTTCAACTCCCGAGGCATACAAAACTAGTTTTATCCGAAAGGAATTTTCGATTTCAACTTGTGTAAAGATATGATGTCTTGAACACAATACTGAACTTGCTATTAAAGTAGGAGACTCCGGTTGAACTGTGTCAGCAAACTAGAATATTATTCTCTCCACGCAAGACACACCCTCACTACTAGTTTAACGCGCAGACTTTTTTAAAGGGGCGTTGAAGGTGGGGTCATGGAAATAGTAAAAAAGATTAATATGATATGTCGCCCGTAAGGTGAGGAATACACATTTTTCTCAGTAAAATAATATTATTGGAAGTCTGTTTGTTGGAATTAAAAAAGAGGTTGTGAAGAAACACATGTGTAATGCATTGTGTGTAAGGTATACCATTGCTACCCAACATTTAGTTGTCTTCATGGAATATCTGCGTCTTGCAAGTATCACTCCCATACAGGATGCTAATTAAATAAGTCAACAGATTATATTTGACCAGGGTGTAAAGTCAACTGAATGTAAACGAAATATTACTGTTGCATTACCATCGTGAACGTTCCGCGGCGCACTGGAGTAATTCTGGCGTAAAACTATTCAAGAAATTAGCGGTTATTTCGCGAGGGGAAAACTAACGATGTGCCAAATTCTTCTAAAATAGTAACGAATTTACTGAGCTTTGATATGCACGTGATAAAAATGTACATCAACGCTTCCTAAATATAACGAAAGAATAGCCTACCAGTAACTACTAAGATGTAATATCGTTTGCTAGGGTGAAATGAGTATCATGCATATTTAATAGGACGATTAATATCACATTGAACAACGAATCACCGTACTCCAAACAGCATAATCTGATATCTATATGCATGTCGATTTGCTTGTGAAAATACTTAAAGTCCGTATGAGTCTTGTGCAGTATCGGACATAATTAACAAACTGTATTTTAATTTGTCACTGCTGTAATTAGTATTGCAATAATAAGTACATATAATATCAAACATTTCAAAAGCTTATCTTTTGCAGCATTTTTCTTGCTCAAATGTTGATGCTGAACAGTAGTATTTGGCTTTGGTTCCCTCGTGTGGCACTGTGCAGGTACTGTCACCCAAATAAACTATTACAAAAGTAAGTTCATGTTATATATATACCAAAGGATGTAGGCTGTGTAATCTAACTTATTGCTTACTTTAATTGTTTGTTTTAATCATCGATAAAATCTTATTTCATGGAGTAAGTCAATTCCTTGCCTTATATTTCCCATAAATAAAATTAAACATGTTAACCGTTGCAGAAATGTGTTATGTCCGATATAAGTAATATGTTTATATACACAACGCGACTAAAACATTTATTAATCTTTGTCGGTCATAAAAGTATTTATTGAAAAAAAAATATGCAGTCGACATTCGGTTAAGAAATGTAGAAGTGACATTTTAAGCGACAGTGACACATGTAGAATAATTTACATGGACAGTAATGATGTAGAAAATGACGCCCGGCACCCAAGACCGTCGGCGATAAGGGAGGTAGGAAGCTTGGTGTTACGGTAGGCAGAGACTCGGTGACGTCTCTCTATCGCCTCCCACCCCCCATACTGAAGCTCAGCAATCAGCCGCGATGAGAGACGCTCATCCTAACCTCATAAAGGAAGGCTGGAAGGCCGAAGCACAGAAGGGAAGGCCAGGCAGCGCGCACCATGGCACCCGTCGGCTTAAAGGCTTTGGTCGGAGACAGTAAGTACAGTATATATGTTCTTTGTCCTTTTTGCAGTTCCTGCCCCCATATCATTTTTTTATGAACAAATGTCACGAGGAACAACGGTAGTTTTCAGAATACCTTATTATACACGGGATCTTATAAGCATCGATATGAGTGAGCTGAAGGTGTGTAAGGATGTATCGGAAGCACTTAAGTCTTGGGCAAACGTTGGGCACTGATTACAGATTTTTGAAGATGGAAGAACAATTTATTCATAACATCTCGGAAAATGCCGTTTCTGCAGAAGAAAAGTAACAGTCTTTCAACTAGGCCGACCTAGAATTAAATCTCAAAAATATATATTTTTTTGCAAATTGTCTTTTAAAATTATTCTTATTATTATTGTTGTTGTATAAAGCGAGTAGGTTGTGAAACTGGTACTATTTTTTTTATTAACATGACTGATTCCTGATTAGTTTCGACTAATCTCCCAAAAGGAGGGCAGAAAAAAATCCTTTTCGATAGATACGTTCCTCCCAAAGTTTGGATTGTATTATCATTCCTTTCTGAATTTCTAAATCTAAGTCATATAGGCCGATTTTTCAAAGAGTGGATTAACATCGTGCCTTGTAAATTGTTTTTTTTTTTACACGCTACCAGTGGTGGAGGAAGTACTGAAGCTTAGTACTTATGTAAAAGTACAAATATCCTGCAAAATATGTACTCAAGTAAAAGTAGAAGTACTACATCAACAATCTTACTTAAATGAAAGTATTAAGTACTTACTTTTAAATTTACTTTAAAGTATTTTTTTAAGTAAAAGTACTCACACAATGGTTTGTCTCAACGTCTCGGGTGTGCCATTTTGTAAAAGAATAGTAGATATATTGACTTACGCCTCTACCGATGTCATTGCTCGTAATAATTACAAGTAACTATACAGTACTGTATATGTGTATTGGAAAGTTTGGTGTGCTTATTGTGCGTGCACTCTGCAATACTGTGTGTACCCTAACTTAGAATTATGTGGATGACAAGTTATCTACTAGGTATTACCCACTAATATA